GGAATGCCTGAAGATTATGTGCAAATGATGCAGAGATGTTGGGATGTGGATCCATCAAAAAGACCAACTAGTGGAGATCTTTATCAATTCGCTATAAATAAATCTGAGGAAATTCGTAATAATAAAAGTTTGAAAAATAATAGTAGTAACAATGATAGTTTAATAAAAAGATTATTCAAATTTTCTAAAATCAAAAAACATAACAGCAGCAGCAGCAGCAGCAGCAGTGGTGGTGGTGGCGGTGGTTCACAACAAGTACATAAATCACATCCAGACGCATACCATACAAGTAGAATATTAGACAAAGAGATTGCTAAATCTAAAAGCTTGAAAATTTATACAAGTAATGATAGTTCATTAAATAGTCTTGATTTTAACTCTTTTCTCTAGAATGTTAACAAAGGTGATTAAAAATTTCATTAATCAATTGGAAATTACTATCTATTAATTATTATTAACAATATTAATTAATTAATTAATAGGCATTAGATTCTAGTAATAATTGTTTTTTTTTTAAACAATTGATTTAATCTCCACTATAAATTTGTTATCATCTTTTTATTTTTATCCTTATTGTTTTTCAAAGCTAAATTATAATGTTTTGAATAATAAACTTTTTACAGTCTTTTGATTCTTGTTAAATGATGGCGAGGTTTCATTTTGGTTATTTACTTAACTTTTGGGCTATTCTTGTCAGTTAATTGCAAACAATTCAGTGCTTGTCAATTAATTATTTTATGACTTTACTATCACTGCACCTAGACAAATCTGCAAGCCCAAATCTTTGCTTACTCACTAAAGCAAATTACATTAATAATCGTTGTTAACACTCACTAGTTAACCAACATTAGTCCTAACCTTGCTTGCTCACTAAAGCAAATAAATGTGGCTTTTTACCAAACAAAGAAATAAAGACAATGTTTTTATTTTTTTTTTATTTATTAACGATTGATTTTATTTAATAGAAATAATGATTCTATCAGAGTTTTATTTTATCAGAATGTTAATCAGTGTTGTGACCAGAAACTCTTTTGGCTTCCCGAAACGTTTCGGAAAATGAACTTACACTAAGCAGAAAACTAAAATTAAACCTAAACCTAAGCATAAACTACTAACCTAAACTAGTTTCAGGTTGTTTCTGTTAGTTTCTGTTTCGGGTCACAACACTGATGTTATTTTTCTCTGCAAAACCCAAAAAGTTATGTTTTTTCAATTGAAGACCAGAAACCCTTAATGATCATCACAACAAGGATAAAAAAAAAGGGATTATTATTGCAAAGTAACTTAATCAATCAATGTTGATGTAATAAAAACTTCCATAATTATTTACAAAGTAACTTGATTATAAAAAGTTTTGGCGTAAACTAAAATTAATTGACTCTGGAACATAGGATATCGAATTCCTAATTGATTATTTTATCTACTCCGGTCATGTATCACGTTATAAGAAATTTTTGAGTTTAGCATTAGTAGTAAATGAGAGTGTGAGAATTGATTTTTGTATTCAGCAAAAGAAAAACTTAGCTCCATGGGAACAATTGATGAAACAAAGGAGAGATTGTGATATACAAGAAAAATATAAAAAAAAGAATCTTGAAATATACATTTATAAGTTTTTTTGGCCTTTAAAGAAATTTTAATATGTCATTTTTGACTTAATGGCAACGAATTTAACGTAATAATTTTACAAATTTGGTAATATTTCGTCAAACAACATTAGTTACCGCATTAGTTTTTTATGTTTGTTAAAGACAAAGCTAAAACCACACAAATGAGCTTATTAGGCGAGTTTTTAAAGTCCAATTGTTGTCTACTTTTGTGTCTAAAATATATATAATAAATTTAATTTTGACAGTAGAACAATTTTTACTTAGTATGCGAGGCTTGTTTTTTTTTGTTGAGGGATTTAAATACGAAGTTCACGGATACAAATTTTATTTTATTATTATATGGCGGATATCTGCCGACAAAATTGGTATCCGACAGTTCAATTGGTCGAATAATAATAATAATAAATTTGATATTCGGATACCAGACGGATATCGTATATCCGCATTAAATTATGAATAAAAATTGGCCGATAATATATTATTATATGACAATGAACTCTCTCTTTGACTGACAATGGAATTTTTTTTGCTAAAAAGAAGGCTTGTTTGTCACAAAAAGCCGTGATCTAGCAGTTTTAAAAATGACGATGGATATATCGCGAATAGATTATGGGTGAAAAATAATTCGTAATACAGTTCACACTTTGCAGTATATATATCACTTTTTATTTAAATATTATATCGTATACATATATCATATATACAATAAATCAACTTATTTATTTTTAGCTTTCTTTTTTTCTGAAAGACGAGTACTCTTTTATATATATATATAAATAATGATAATAATCGTTAATTATTACACGAACATATAAAATATATACGAATTTAAAAGAATATTTAATATATACCTTGCGTCTTTTATTATGATTTTGTCTATTAGGAGACAGCCAATCGCTAATTTCAGAATCGGATCGTTCGTTATCCATATTGGTATTAGCATTACTATTGGTATTGATATAATCAGTAGTATTAATATCCATCATTAATTTTTCTATGGCATTTGTTGACAATAGTTCGTCAGTCTTAATCGATACAATTGTATTTTATAAATATACGAAAAAAAGGTTATTTTCAATTATTTTAATTTATAATAAAAAAATTACTTGGTCGGTAAATAACAAACCTTAGTGATTTGATTATATTTACTATTATCATCATCATTATTATTAACAGATTGCTCTAGCAATCGTGAATTTTCAATCGGTAAATCATCAGAATTATTCAAAGTATTTAAACTGGTTCCCTGTTATTTTTTGTAATATTTTTAAAAATTTCCATTATTACCGGTAATTAATATTGATATGCAATGATTATTTACCATCTTGTTAATTTCGGTTAATGATAAAATATGTTGGCAGGAAATTCCATAAGATTCATTTGATGCTTTTGACATAACTATCGACGACGAATGTTTAATAGATTTCTTGTTTAATGTGTCAAATTCATTACTTTCATCATCATTTAGAAAATTCATTGGTGATATAAAATTGGAAACTTGAGGATTCTAAAAACATTAATATTATTATTAATAAGAAAATACTTTATTATTTACCATTGTTAATTGTTAAAATTCTCATAAATACCATTAGTTCAGCAATTTCTTGTTGAGCTGATTCGCTAATTGATTTTAAGTCTCCATTTACATTATGTTTGTTATTTAGATTCTAAAAAAATACAAATTTGCTTAAATTATGTTGGTGTGAATAACCAGGAGAGCTAATGAGCTAATGAGTGGGCGAATGGTTTATTTTACTTACCATGTTTGACTGTTGTAGTGGATCCAATGATAACGATGATGATAATGTATTAATCATAGTATTAACTGACTCTTGTCGTAATTGCTGCTGCACATTGATTGTTAGGTAAAAGACAGTACGAAAGATTATTTTTCAAATACAAGCATAAATCAATAAATGTAGAAATAGTGCACTTACAAGTTGTTTCATTAAAGATTTTTCATTGGCTTCCAATTTGCAAAGTTTGACTTTGAGTGACTCCTATATTTAATGAATTTTTTAAAAAGTCAACATATTCAATTAAAGACGAAAACTTATGACTTACTATTTTATCAGTTAATGATTTTTCTTTAACTTCAAGGTTTTTAATTAAAATTTCGCGTTTATTAATTTCACTGGTATGCTCGATGGCTGTTTTTTTTACGGATTCTTGGTAATAAATAGCAGATTGCTTTAAAACTTGATCCATCGCAACTTTTTGCTAAAAATTAAAAATTAATTGATTAATTTTTTTTTTTTTGAGAAAAACACAAATTTATTAAATATTTTACCCTAAGTTTTAAATTATCAGTTTCTAAAAGTAAATTATTATTTGCAACTTTTAGTTCTTCATGTTCGATGATTAGAGATGACATTTCTGTTTCAAACTTATCAGATTTAGACTAATATTTTTTAGTATTAATAATAAAAAATTTTTTTCATTAAACAATAAATTCCCATCATTAATTAATAAACTGATTTAATTCATTTAATACTACCTTCCAATTTTCTAAATCAGCATTAAGCTCTTTAATTTCTTTAGCTCGATTGGTTTTCTCTTTTTCCAATTCTAAATCAAGTTTCTTGTATTGATCTTGAAGATCCAAATCAGGATAATCCGATGTTCCTATAGAAACTATATGATTTCGTTATGTTATATAAAAATAAAAATAGACAAATAAATAAAATATTTAAGAGTGATTTATACCTGATCTTCTGTCAGAATTTCGTCGCAAAACATCACCTAATTGAGTTTCTAATTGTGAAATCCTAATATACAAATTTTTTTTTAATTCAATCATAATCAATAAAAAATTCATTGTTATCATTATTCGACAATAACCAACCTTAATTTATCACTATTGTTAATTTGAAATAATTCATCAATTTTATGACGAGAATCATTTAATTCCGCCTCTAACCTATATCTTTCCGATTTACTTTCACGAAACTCGGAATCTAAGCGGCTTCGTTGCGCTCGTTCTTCTCTGGCTTGTGACTCAAGTTCAGCACGTTGACCGCGCCATTCTGATTCTAATTGAGTACGTTCTTTTAGAAATTCTGTTTGTAAGCGATATTTTTCCTCGCGTAATTCCGTGTCAAATCGTTGATGATTAATTGTTATTTGAGCTCGCAATTTTTCCAATTCATGTTGAAGTACTTCCATATCTCGTTTACCATTGATATTTGTTTGTTCCAATTCTATCTTTAGTTTATCTCGTTCTGTTTCTGCATTGCATAATAAAGATATTCTACAAATATATAAATGAGAGAGTGAATAAATAAATTGATAATAAAAGATTTTTTAGCAATAAAAAAAGAAAACCTTTCTTCTTTCTCTGAAACAAATTTATCCAATTTTTCAATATCTTTTTTAGCAAATTCCAATTCTTGTTGAAACCGTTTTGTTTCAATTAATAAAGAAGAAATTCTATATAAACAAAACAACAAGTTTTCATTAATGATTTATTCTTTTAACTAATTTTTCTTTTAATAAAAAAAATCCATAAAAAAATTTTTTTACTTTTCTTCTTTTTCTTTATTAATTCCTAAATAATTCTTACAAGATTCTTCACTGTGTTGTAAAGACATCATCATGGCACGAAGTTCTTTTGAATGTGTCGCTTTTAATATTTCGCAATCATTCGACAAACTTTCTACCTTTAGTTTGCTAGTTTCTAATTCAGATGTAAGTAGAGAATTTTTCAAGTCGTTTTGTTGCAAGTCTTTTCGAAATTGATTTATTACTTCGTTAGTTTGTGCACTAGCTTGTGTAAGTTGTTTATTTATTTCATTAGTTTGAGTTATTTGTTCTTGATCTATATTGCATATATCATATATTTATTATTCATATTAATTGTTATAATTATCAGTGATTGGTAGATGGAAAATAAAAAGCATACATGTTTTTGAGATTGACGAATGGTTTTTTATGGTAATTTGATGTTGAAAAGATAAATTTTGAAATTCTACAAAAAATAAAAAAGCAAATGACCCAATGATAAAAAATTTCTAAATATATATAATCTGTTTATTTATAAGATATACCTTTTTTTATAGAATCAATCTTATCTCTGAATTTCCCCTTTTGATCATATAATTCATCAAATTTTTTATTTATCTTGGTAAGGGTGTTTTTAAATAAAGCAAACCTTGATTTGATTGCTTCAATTCGTCGATTATTGTTATCTGAACTATCTAACTGACGTTTAACAATTGATTCTACAATATCAGCACGATCTCGGTATAATGTTAATGAATTGTCACGTCTTTTTAGTGAATTATTTAAGGAATTTATTTCACCTTGCTATTTAAATATAAAAAATTGATCAAGATGTTTTTTAACCGCAAATAAATAAAGATAATTAACATAATTGAATGACTTACAAGGTTTTTAATAAAACTGTCTTTTTTGTTGACTTCTTCTTTCCATTTATAAATAGAAGTTACAATTGAATCCAATTCATCGAATAATTTCAAACTCTCAATATTATTATTATTAATATTGTTATTGGATTGATTTTGATTTTTTATATTCTTACAATTATTTGCAGGATTATCGATAGAATCATTGTTGGTAGAGTTATTATTATTGATGAGGTTACTGTTGTCAATGGGATTATTATTGATGTTTTCTACTTTATTGTAGATTTCTGTTATTTTAGAATTAAAGGGAAAGTCAGAAACAGAAGTGAGAATGGAGGTAGATGCTTTAGTAGCAGAAGATTTTTCGATATTGTTATTTTTTTGTTCAATTATAATTGGTGAATTATCAGTATCCTCCTTATCAGCATCAAGGTCTGGAGCGATATTCAAATCTGCATCGTCATTCAATCCAGCATTTGCCAAATTCTCTAATTGTTGTTTATTCAAAGAATTATTTTGTGATGATGCTAATTTTTTTGAAAAATCTTGAGAAGTAAAAATAACTTTTCTAATTGCAGCAGATTTTTCTGCTGTTGTCAATGATGATGCACTGTAGACATTATTATTTTTTGTTAATAACGATTTTGCAACTTTTGAATTTGTGGTACCAGATTTTGTTGAAATTTCTGTGGATTTTGTTGAATTTTTAGAGTTTGTGGAATCCGTTGTTTTAGATTGTGTGGAATTCGTGGAATCTTGTTTTGTAGATTCCAAATTTTGTATTTGATTCTGCTGTGATGATAATAATGTTGATGGAACATTGTTTTTTTCAATTGTAGGAGTACAAGATTTAGAATCATTCTTCTCAGAAATATAACTTTTTTCTTGACTATTTTCAATTGCAACGTCATCACCATCATAACAATGAAGTTTTGATTCTTTATTACTATTAATTCTATTACTACTGCCAATAAGAAATTCATCATTATTATTAATGTTTGATTCATTATTACTGTCATTGCTGATCTTATTGTCATTATTCTTTTCTAATAATATCGTCTCTTTACTATTGATATTGTCACTAGCATTACTAACTTCATTACTATCACCGGCATTATTTTTACTAGCGTTATTATTATTGTTAGTTGGAAAGAATATTTTCTTATTATTATTAGCAGAAGAAGAATAATTGGCTTTATTATTGACAATATTGTCATCGGCACTAATAGAATTGATATTGGTATTAGCATCGGTAGATAATAATAAATTTGATGACGCGTTTTTTTGAAATTCTTTAAAAGAAACTCGAGTTGATTTATTTCTAAAAAGTGGTTGTGAAAATACATTTAATGAAGATGATGGTTCCGGTGCTGTAATTGTTGATGTCGTTGACTTTAGAAAAAATTGAACTAATTTCTGTTGTTGCTGCTGTTGTTGTTTATTTAATGATGCTATGCTATTACTATTGTTATTACTATCTAATAGTAAGTTAGTACTTTTAATTGCAACAGCTGTTTTGGCTATTTTTGTTGCTGTCGAAGAATCTAAAGAAGAATTGGTATCTTGTACATTCGATGAAGAAGGAAAAAAATGGGGTCTAAAAGTGAACTCTGCGGTAGAGGTGGTTGATACTGCTTGTTGTTCAATATTAGAAGATAGTGATATATTGGAAATAATCGATGATGATGGTGGTAACGCTTCTTGTTCATGTTGTTGCAATGATGTTGTTTCTTGTAATGGTTGCGGCTCTTGCACTTCTTGTATTGGTGATAAAAAGGTATGTAAATGTGTTTTTTCGTTGGATGTCATTTGTTAAAAATAAAATAAAACTATTTCTAAAATTTGGAAAAAAATAGTTTAAAAAGTTTTTTTTTAGACATTTTATTAAATTAATACATTGATTATGTCATTAACATTTCATTTTTTAATTTTTATTATTATGATAAGCGGAGATTTTTCGTGGGTCAAACAAAAATCGAGATAATCAAGAACCATTATAACTTTTTTTTCTTTTTAGATCATTAGATCAGTTTTTATGCTGCAAGTTTTAATTCTTGAAGACTTTGCATCTTTTTGTCGACGAGTTTTATTAAATTACTACGGAATAATTCATAGTTGTATAAACCCATATTCATTTATATAGAAAAAATACCTTATTATTATTTGTATGAGATTCCTTCTCACTTTGATTGGACGGTTGGGTAGACAGATGTAATCTATTCGAATGCTTGAAAACATATATTTCTCATCTAACTTCCAAATCGCCTTTCCATTTTCTAATTACTTTAGTAGTTTTTTAAACAGGACCTAAGCTTTGCGATGCGTATATGCATTATTGGACACAAAAGCCAAAGTCAGATGATTAAAATTTTTCAACCAATAAGATTTAAGCCGCTATGTCATGAAGTCTCACTTAATTCAAAGTGGACAATGATATTTCAATAAATAACTAACCAATAGAATGGAAAAGCTGTGAGAAAGTGTAATTTGATATTCATTTAAATTTATTCATATTTGGAGCAGTACTTATAATATGATCACGTATTAGTATTCAGAAAAGAACAGCCAACAGGGCTTTTCATCAAATATGAAAATCGACTAGATCTGAGACTTCCTGTTGAGCGACTATATATTTTGGGTATGATTTATTTAGTTTACTTTGATTATTATACGTTTCAATTTTCATGTGAACTTTTATCTTTAGTATAATAGCCATCAAGAAACAAACTAGACTGATAAAATCTTCACTGTCTGAGTTTGAAAAGTGCGCAAATTATTCAAAGACATTGTCACTAGTGTAAAACCAATGGTAAGTTCTTACCGGCAAATAGTTTTGATGTATCGATTACTTTGTATCATGAAATATTTGGTACATTTGTAATCGATTGTGAGAACGTAGTCATAACTAACGATGATAAAATCAGAACATAAAAATGAGCAACTTTGTTGATGGCGACACCAATTATTTCGAAATGGAAATTTGAATTAGGAAGAGGCGAAAACTCTAGGCTAAATAACAAAGATTACCATGAAAAGTCATGCAGACAATAAAGGTTGCTCGAGCTCAACATAATAAAATGGAAAATAGGGATAATTAATTTTTCAAGATCTTCTTGAAGTTAAAAAGGCTTCATTTTTTCTCAGTGCGAGATTTTATGTCATGTTCCAAATAAATGGTGATATATATGTCATATTGGAATGGGCTTCTGAAGCACTCCTACAAGCAATAATGATATTACTTATCATGTAAAAGGTTATAAAGTATCCAGACGCACTTTTTTGATAATTACAAATCACACAAATTTTGTATATATAAACAAAAATAAATAAAATTTATACCAGTTGTAGCTAGTGTTGGTTTCCAAAGCTAGAAAATTTCGTAACTGTGCGAAGGTCAAAAGGTTCCGCCATAAGTTGAAACTAGCTTTGACGACCAATACTATTTGTAGCTTATGCTTCTAGAATCTATATAAACTTTCAATTAAAAATTGAAATACATTTTTTAGTATACTAAAATACATAAATTTTATATCTAACTTACAGTATATGGGGGCTTTTCAATAGAAACAGACCATTTTGTGAAAAAAAACAATTTTGAATTAATGCCATAGCTATATGTAACTCCTCACGTAGAACGATTTTGGCTTAGAAATCGTACCCACTTTGCATAGTAAAATATCGAGATACTTTTCTTTAAAATTTCAAAAACGATAGTAAACATCTTAAAATGCGGATCTTTTTTTTTGATTTCCTCAAAACATTACTTTCACAACATGGTCCGTTTCTGTTGAAAAGCCCCCATACTCGTGTTAATTTTAGTCAATTTTGTTGATCATTAACATACTAAATATTTTTTTTTCATTTATTTTGTGCAACAAATAAATTATTCTTAAAAAAATGTTTGAAATAATAAGTTTGCCACTCGAACTTTTAGTTGAAATATTCAAATACATTGAAGATGATTACAAAACATTATATTCTTGTACTCTTGTCAATAAACAATGGCACAATATCAATATTCAAACTTTATGGAGAAATCCATTTTATTCTCCTAACAGCACCAAAATATTAATTAATTGTATGTTAGAAGAGGATAAGGATTTCTTAACTAGAAATTGCATTAAATTAACATTTGAACTATTGGAGAGGCCACCATTATACAATTATGCTAGATTTTGTACTATACTTTTTGAGTATTGTGATTTTCATTACCTGGTAAAAAAAAGCAGAAAATTAAATTTACAAATTTTAGAAAATAAATTAGGGAATTTTATTTTAGACCATTCAGAAGGTATTAGAAAGGTTAATATTACTAAATATATAGATTATAATTTATTAATCAATCATCATAGATTTGATGATTGTTTTCAGAATCTTTATGAAATATATTCTAATAATTCTGGTAGTGATGAATTTTTTTATAAATTAGCAAATATCTGCAAAAGCATTCAATCATTAACGTATTATGATCGTGATAATAGTGACAAAAGGATGTATAATTTAGCACAGTTAATTAAAGCACAAGAGCAAATTAAATATTTATCTATTACATCACGAATTTTATCAGATGAATTAAAAAAAGCAATATTAACACATTCACATTCAATAATTTTTTATGAGTCTCATACTAAATGTGATAATTTTAATAATTTATTATTACCAACTTTTAAAAATTTAAAGACTTTAGAATTATCAATTTATGCTGATGGAGAATTAATAAGTTTGAAAAATATTTCAATGCCAAATATTGAATCTGTGAAAATGGTTACTACTCAACAATTTCTATTAGACTTGCGTGATTTTATTAATATCAATGGAAAAAATCTTAAAAATCTGGATGTTGATGGTTATAATAATGATAATAAAATTTCAAGAAAACTATTTCAATCAATTGCACAATCTTGCAAAAATTTAGAAAATTTATCCATAATATATAAGAATGAATTAGACCAGGAATTAATGGAAGTACTTAATAATTGTATTAAATTAAAAAGTATTCGATTTAATAATGATTATGAAGGAAAAATAAATTGTGAAAAAATATTTACAGGATTAAATGAAACATTACCAAAAAACTTAAAATCAATAACTTTTGCTCATGAAGTTTATAATGTTAATAATCATTCTTTGGATATTCTAATGAAGAATTGGAAAGGACCCAAACCTTTAATAATAGGATTTGATAAGGATTATTATAAGAATGATATTTTGCTAGAAAATGATGGAAGAAAAATAATAAAGATTTAGGGTTTTTAATAATTAATGATAAAATCATTTAATAAATAAATGTTATCAATACTTTGGAAGATTATAGTTATATTATTATTATTTATTTATTTGTCATACTATACTGATATATATAAAATCAATATTTAGCCATACTTTTGATCATTGGTTGGTTTAATTGGTCAACTTCAATTTCATCAATTTGTCACATTTCGCCAAGTTGATGAAATTAACAACGGTTTGATGAAATAATTCCCTGCCCTGCAAAATATTTCACCAACCATTCTTATTATTTATTATATTTTATTGGACAGATCATGTAAAGTCATGTTGTTTGTAATACTTCAAGAAGTATAAATACACTCGAAATTTACTTTAATTTTTTAATAATATACATTTGATAATAAACTGTAATTAATTAATAAAGCTGGTGTGATTGATTCATAATCCTTTCTGATGATTAATGGTTTGGCCAACCTTTAACTATTAGGAACTCTTTAATTTTAATATATTGCTTGTAGTGATGCCTCAAGTAGTATATTCCTATTTTTTTTTTTTTACAAAGCTGGAAAGAAAATCAAGACACTTGACTAGAACTCGCCTGCAATGATAGTACATGTGCAGCTGGAAAGAAAACCTTGCACTTGACCAGAACTAGGGTTTCTATGGAAACAAAATGAATAATTCAAAATAAAATTAATAAATTGAGTTTTGTATTACGAATAATTTGAATAAAAGTTTGCATTATGAATTTACAAATAGAAACTCTAGCAGAAACAAGGTGAACTTTGAATTTTATTTATTGTGGGATATGCACCCCACTGATCATTACTAATTATTTTGTTGATATAACAAAAATTGAACAAGATACTTGGGAAACCAATTTTTTCCACTTATAAAACTTCAATTACAAATACAACTTGAGAAAATCAATGATGCTTCAATAAGTGATTCAGAAAATAATGGTGAAATTTTTTTTAATAAAAATAAAAATTAGATTCTTGTAAATAATATTTTTTTAATGTTAATAATCCAATACCAAAAAGAAAAAGATCAAGGGTGTTATATGCGTTGAGTTCAATGTTATTGCTGATGAAGGTGGGCAGATCATTGTCCACCAAAAGATATTTCATTATTATAATGTCATTGATTTTCTGTAGTTCAAAATCAATGTTCCTTCATATCTTTCAAGGATGAGTGTATGGTCTTTCCACCAATGTTCTGGTGACAACACCAGTAGGGGCTATAAACAGGGATTCTTTTCTCTTGGACTAATGATTTATAGGACTTTCCAAACCTGTCAAAAAGAAGTAGTATATTTTCCATCTAATGATTTTCCAATGATGCCAGCTGATGAAACATAGATCTTGATCCTCAAGCTCAGGTAAGAGTGATATTAAGATTGTCACATATGCCTCTGAAACTAGTGTTCTTTAGGTAGCCATTTTTAAGTGAATTTATTGCTTGTTATTATATCTTAGGGGGAATCTTTTTCAGTATGTGGTAAAACATCCTAGCAAATCTTGTTCTGATCTTGCCACAACCTTCATCACAAATTACTAAAGAAAAAGGGCTCACCATGT